TCTCCATGTCTGTCTCCAGATGAGCGAGTGGGGAACCTGAATGTGGTGGGGAAGGATGCTGACAACATGCAGCGTGTTCTTTCCCAGATGGAGAAGATTGTCCGTGCCATCTGGTCCAACCCTCCCTCACAAGGAGCACATATTGTGGCTACCACCCTTGCCTGCCCGCAGCTCTTGACTGAGTGGTAAGCAGTGCTGGTGCCAAAACAGGGTGGTGAAGGGAGGAGCTGTCATACTGGGGCATGGATGGACATGGCTAAATCCCACTACCGGCTCACTCTCTCCCCTGCACAGGAAGGACAATGTGAAAACGATGGCTGATCGGGTCTCGCTAATGCGGTCAGAGCTCAGGGCTCGGCTCCAGGCTCTTGGGACCCCAGGCACCTGGAATCACATCACTGAGCAGATCGGCATGTTCAGTTTCACAGGGCTGAACCGTAAGTATCAATGAACCAGATGCTGTTGCGGCAGGAGGTGAGCTCAGGGGCCTGGAACTGAGTGGGGTTGGGCTGCAAGAACCCAAGCTGGATTTGCTAAAGAACTTCTCCAATGTCTTTCTGGGGTGCAGTCTTGGGCCTCTAAAGGGTAGTAAGAAAGTCTGGATAGAGCAGTCAGCACTCCTGGCCTGATCTCTACAGCACCTCCTGCTGGGTCTGACCAGGACTGGAATAGCTTAGAGTTTACTGAACAGCCAGTGCTCCTGCTGTTCTCTCTACTGCATCTTTTCTTGGGAGAGGCTGGGTTTGGAGTAGCTCTATGCTTTATTTCACTGGCCAGGTCCTGAACCCCTTCTCTCCATTCTGAAAGCCGATGAGATGCAGCACTGAACTGCACTCTGGGATTTCCAGGTCTCCCACATGGCTGACCTGACTTCTTTCTCAAATGTTTCCCCAGCTAAGCAAGTGGAGTACATGATCAAGGAGAAGCACATCTACCTGATGGCCAATGGACGCATCAACATGTGCGGCCTGACCACCAAGAACCTGGACTATGTGGCCAGCTCCATCCACGAAGCTGTCACCAAGTTCCAGTGAGGAACACAAACCACTGAACTCCCATCTGAACCCACCAAAGCAATAGTGTGTAGTCTCTGTTCCCTGCTTATAACTCACCTTCGTCACACCTGTTAGGGTTTAATAAGGATGGGGAATAGTGGCTGTATCAGGGATATCAGTCTGCCTGCATCTCTGAAAGCCCCCTCATAATACCGGCCAGTGCCCTCCTGGGGCTGGTGACAAAGTAAGCCATCTCATCTCTCATTTAACTGACAGCAGCCATATGCACTGGGACCCAGACATCTCAAAGCTGCCTATTTCTGTGCAACCAAATAGACCCAGTATAACCAGTCAACTCCTGTACAGGTGCAGTGCATTGTGGGATAGGTGCCCAAATTCTTGGGGCCCCTTGTCCTGTCTGTGGGTTGGAGGCACTGTAAAATTTCAGGAAGTGAGGCTATTGTTGGCTTTTGCCTCACACGAGCAAAGAGTGTGATTGTTTCTTTGTGTCGCTGCTTCTTTGTGTTGCTGAAAGAAAATAAACCTCCATCTCCGAAGGATGCCCTGCCCGGTGCTTTGTCTTGCTGCCTGCGCTCTGTGTCTTCATTGCTGGGTAACCGCCTAAACTGGCATTGACATGCCGGTGGCAGAGGGAAGATGGACATGACCTTGCGTGGCCAGTCTCTTAACTATTGCAATAGGCTCCAGCCTTAGTCTGAACTGCTGTGGGGTGGACTCCTCTGCCCAATCCCCCCCCCCCCCCCCCCCCAAGCAATAGCGGCCAGCCCCACGATCCAAGGCTTCATCTTATTTTAAAGAAGAGACTTGTCCAGGCGTTCATTCTTTGCTGGTGTCTCATGGCTACTTTCCCTTCCCATTCACAATTGCATCCCCCTGGCAACTACAGCTACTGACAGGGCAAAATGCTACTGGAAAGTTCTGATGAATCCAAAATGTGTCCTTGAATAACTAATTCACTCCCCATGTATCTCTTCTGTTCCTGTTTTTTTGCCTGGCTTTCCTCCATATGTGTATATCCATGTTCACCACATGGTGAGATGTTGCCTAGACATTTGATCATCTCCTCCACAGGGGACTTCTTCTCTGGATCATAGCCCCTGTCCCACGGGTGGTTCCATTCCTTCTGAGTAGATCCTATTTCTTCTCATGCAGCAGTTACTGATGGAGGCCCATGGGCTGCATCCTCCTCATTCCTGGCTGCAATTACAGGCATCTGGGCACTATGCCATGGAGAACTAAGACTCCTGTAGAAGCAGTGGGAGACGAGGAGAGCTAGGACCATCCAGCAAACCATTTCTCTGCATGTGGCCAGCCAGTGCTCCATGGACTAGTTTAGGAAATGGGGATGTAGCCTCTGAGCAGATGTTCATTCAGAGCAGTGTGACCCATCTGCTCTTTCCCAGGGCTGAGGAAAGTTCCCTCCATCACAGCAGAAGGTCAGGTCTGGAGTTTAGCCACTCTGCTGGGTTAAGCTCACTTTGTGGAGTGGCATTTGTAAGTGTTGTGCTGCTTCACAGAACAGCACCGTGTACACACTGCGCTGGAAAGGGCACAAATTGGGGGGTGTTCGAGAAGTGGGGTTGCAGGGATGCACCGTCCAGCTGCAGTGGTTGAAGCACAGGAGTGGGAACTGGACAGCTGTGCAGTGACCCTTGGCAAGTACTTAACCTCTCTGTACCTCCTCCCCACCTGTAAAAGGGAAAGGAATTCTTCCCTTCAAAGGAAAAGTGCTGTTGAGTGCAGTGCACAATGCACCCTTTGCTGTATCACAGCTCTTGTTTGTGCCACAGGATGTGTGTGTGGAGGGGCCTTTCCTTGGAGGCTCCGGTCCCGTGCATGACTTCTTGTTTTCCTCCCCCTCGAACTCTGCTGAGCCAGATCAACAGAATCTCTACCATGCAGCTCCCATGGCTCTGTTCAGAACTCAAATTGCTGCACTGATTTGGGCCAAATGTGGCTCATCTTGGAGACTTGAAGGGTGGCTGGAACGTCCTGTATTTCCCTTCTCAGCTATATCTCCAGCTGTGGGAGCAATGGAGGGAGAACACCAAGAAGATGCCCTGTGTAGGTGCAGCCCCTACTGCCATGCAGGTGCTCCCCCATTAGTGAGGCAGGCGTGACTGGGAGGAAGCAGGGGCCTGTGCAACCGGGCCTGCAGAGGTAGGGTGACCAGACAGAAAATGTGGAAAAATTGGGATGGGTGGGGGGTAATAGGAGCCTATATAAGAAAAAGATCCAAAAATCGGGACATCTGGTTACCCTATGCAGGGCTCTCTCGCTGGGGCATGAGGGCAGCGGTGCCTAAAAGCTCATACGGCTTCCATTGCCTTCTAGACCCATCACGTTTTGTGTCTCTTAGGTCTGCGACAGCCACAAAATTAATCACAGCCTTTCTTGGCCACAGCACTGGCAAACAGGTTCTTCACCCAGTCTGCAGTCTGACATTAAGAGGATGGAGTAGCTACTTCTCTGGCTCTACACAGTACTTTAGAGATGGCTAGTTTACATTTAATATTCCATTCAGTGCCATGCTTTCACTACACTCTGTTAACGTGTTAGTCCTGCAGAGCTCCCTGAGAAAAGGGCTTTCTCCAGCGTACGCTGGGCCATGCTCTGTCTCAGAGCTTTAAATGGCCCTACAGGGAGGCGGTAGCAGAACCCAGGCACCCTGACTCCCTCTCCTGTGTGTTAAATCATGTGATGGTCTTACTGAGCGTGGGGAGGAAGTGTGTCCAGTGCTTAGAGCTCAGGGCTAGCATTCTGCTCTCTACGTGCCTGCGTGTTGCTGTGGGGAAGTCCCCCTCCAGGGCTGCCTTCCCCCTTGCAGAGAGAAAAGCTTTGAATACAGCCTTCTCCTGAGCTCAGGTGGCCCTGGGGGGAGGGTGCCAAAGTGCTACAACGAATAATAGGAACAAGGGCAAGGTGGCAGAGAGTGTGGGGCAATGGGCTGGCACTTAGAAAGGGAAACCTGAGGCTGAATGTGAGGGAAGGCTGCTTGCCAGGCAATGTGACTCTGCACCAGGCTCCTGGGGGAGTGGGAATCTGCCCCCCAGGCTGGCAGCAGCTCTGAAGCTAGCAGGCTTAGCACTAAGGGGGCTGTTTTGGGGAGAGGGGGATTAGGATGCAGCTTGTTCTGCAGCAGGCAGAGCGGGCTCTCAGGTTGTCCATGCTGCAGGCAGAGGTTGCTTTCCCCTTCCTGCTGGTAACTACTGGGGAACGGAGCAGCTGCGCCATGCAGCAGCGAGGCCCCCCCCATCTCTGTGGGGAAGAGATCCTGGCACAGCTTGGGCTGTTACAGCAACTGCTGTTGCGTTGGCCCAGACAGAGGCGGAGCTGCTCGCGGAGGGATGGCTTTTAATGTAAAGTACATTGTGTTCAGCCTCCATAGCAGCGATTTAAAACTCTCTCCCGTTCCGATGTCAACACCTGGCTCTGAGCTGAGGCCTCTCACAGGGCCATGGTGGTTGAAGCACAGCTCTGAGCTTCCCTTTCCTGGGGGGAAGGGGACAGATACACTCAGCGCTGGGCGGGGCCTGAGGCCCACAACTGGCTAGTGCCTGGGTTGGGGCAGTGTCTGTGGGATGGGCAGTTCAGTGCTCCCAGGGGCCAGGCTGAAGTGCGAGGGCAGGTTTTGACTGTCATTGCACACACGTGCAGCAGCCTCCTGAGTGTCACACTGGGTGTGGTGGGAGGGGACAGGCACTGCCCGGAGCATGGCACTCCTTGGGGCAGGAGCCACGTCTCGTTATGGCTGCAGTGCCCAGCGCTATGGGGCCCTGATTCAGAAGGGGCTGGGAGCTGCTGTAAAGTATTAAATGATGCTCGGGGCCACCCCTTCCTGCTTCTCGCGGCAGGGGAACCATGCCCCAGGCACTGCTGCTTCTTCCTCTTCTCCTCTTTGAGACGGAAAGCCGGGCAGGAGCCGGCCACGTGCCCTGACTTCCTGGCAAGTCCAGGGCTGCCACCTCTGCTTCAGTCCCACCCGGGGGCCTTGCTCTTCTCGCCTGGGGCTCTGCGCATGTCCTGGAGGGAGGGCAGGTGTTGGGTGGGCCGGCAGCGGCGTGCAAACCCACTGCTGTTGCACATGACCCCCTGCAGGACGCTCTCAGGCTGCAGACCTGAAAGAAAAGCAGCTGTTTAATGCTCGTTGTTCCCCCTCCCTGCTCTCCAGAGCCCCCCCGGGCCTCCCAGTGCCACCCCGAGCCAGGCTGCAGGGTGTAAAGTCTCAGGGCCTGCATTCAGCAGCTTGGGGACTCCCTAAACGAGGACATGGCAGGATCCCATACAGGCTGCACCTGCTAATTCCATAGATCAACCTGCCTGAGAGCAGCTTTCCAGAGGGGCAGATGCTGGTTTTGAAAGCATTATGGACGTGTTCCTGTTGGGGTGGGGGGACTGTAGCCCCTCTACACTGCCCCCGCCCCCCCATGGAACTGGCACCAAAAGACCCACTGGCCTGAACAGCCCCGCCAGGTTCAACACACCGCCCTGTCTCCCGTGCTGCTTTGAAGACCACACCCAGCACCTGGAGAGACAAGCTACAGCCCTACCAGACTCTGGCAAGGGACAGGCAGGGCTTACTGCATCCAGGCTTTCGCCTGCTCAGTGCAGGAGGGCAGAAAGCCCCAGCCCTGTAGTGGGTGGGGGGGAGGGTCTGAGAGGGTTGATGGCAGCTCCTGGCCAGCTTTTCAGGGCCTGCAGCGTGTGCCCAGGGCAGAGCAAGGGTGTGTGCCCAGGGCCTGTGGCAGGCCGTGGGCGGGGGGTGGGGTGGGGAAGTGTCTTTGCAGCAGCAGTAGTGCGGGGCATGTTCACACCTCCAGGCTCCCGGGGACTCCAGCGCTGCGCTCCCGCCATGCTGCCGCTCAGGTGATGAACGGCGCTTGGTTGGAATTCTCCTCCAGCGTCGTCTCGCCATCCGGGGACTGCCTCCTCTTCTGCCCGCCTGCACACAGCAGCCATCCCGGGATCACTGCCCCCCGGGTCCCCAGACAGCGCTGTCCCACCCTGGGGGTGCTGCGCTGGTGGGAGGGGACAGCCCAGGCCCTTCATAGCACCTGGAAGCTGCTGGCTACTAGGAACTAGTGGAGCCAGGCCCCCCAAACACCCCAGTCTTCAGCCATGCTACAGTCGCCTGCTGCCCCCAGGGGAGGTGCCTCCATGGAGAGCTGGGCTCCCTGCTGCTGCTCCATGGGCCCCAGTACTTGTCCAGGCCCAGCAACAAGCAGCGTAATGGGAAGGGAGGGACCCTAGGGGGCTGGGCTGGTAGATCTGAGCCTAGGTGAAGGGGGGCAGTAGTAGGGGAGGCTCCTTTCCCTTCCCGTCTCCCCATTCGGGCCCCAGGTTTTCACTCCATGTTCGTTGTTGGGTGCGGAGCTGGTACCTGCAGCCCCACTGCCGTTTTGGGCCCCAGCTTTCCTGCCCCCCTTACGTGCCTCCCTACACCACTGGGGGCTACGTGCTCCCACGTTGTACCCCTCTGCCCTGCTGGCCCTCCCATGGGGCTTGCTGGGTGCTTCACTCACTCAGTGTCCTCAGCAGCTTCTTGCCCAGGGTCTCCTCGGTGCCGCTTGGGGACGTGCCACTCGCTGTCTCTCTGTTCGGGCTCTCCTGCTCCAGGGTGATGTCACAGCATTCGCTGGCTGCAAAGGAGGAAGGTAAGAGCAGTGCTATCTCCAGGCAGGGCTCTCCGGAGCATCTTGGGTGCCTTGTGGCTGCGTCCTCCAATTCCCGCCCCCTCCCCAGTGCAGCCACCCCTTCCAATCCACATCCATCCCATGGGCCTGATCCCACCCCGGGGACTTACCCTGCTGCTTGCTGTTCTCCTCGTTGTCTGCCAGCTCCTCCCTGATGAAGGGGATTCCCTCCACGCGGAGGAACATTGAGTCGCTGGGGCTCTGGAGCCCATCCGACCGGCTGCCTGTGGGAGACACCCCGTCCCCAGCGCGGGTGGCGGCACGGGGAGGGGGAGCGTGTCAGTGTGAGCATCGGGGCCCAGGTGTGAATACACGCCACGGGCCAGGCCCCGAGCATGAAGGGATGTGTGTGTGCGGCTGGTGGCGTCAGGGTCCCATGGGTGCTAGGGAGTGTCGGAGGCCTGTGGGGAGTGGCTGGCCTGTGGGACTGGCCGTCAGGTGGCCGTGGGGTGACTTACAAACGATGCTGTTCCTCTCGTTCAGGAGGGTAGGGGTAGGGTCCTCCTTCGGGGTCTGTGGGGTCCCCCAGGCCATCGGGGCCTTGGTGGAGCTGCCATCATTGAACGCCTCCATGTCGGGGGACTGGGGTGAGCTGTCCATGCGGCTGGCTGCCAGTGCATTCTGGTACTGCTGCCGGGTGATCTGGCACAGGACAGACAAGCAAGCTCAGCTGGGCGAGTTCAAGGCCGTGGGGATGGCCTGCTCCCCTGGTGCTGCCTGGTAGGGCAGCAGGGTGTGAGCTGAGCTTCCAGGGGCATGGCCAGCTGCCTGGCTCCAAGTCCTTGGGGGAGCAACGCTGCCTGCCTGGGGGTGACGTTCACCTCTGTGTGGGGACAGCATCCAACCATGCCCCACTGACATCCTACTTAACCCTTGTTTTGGAGACTTCAGTGGTGCGTAGGCCTTACAGCTCCTCCCTGCACGGGGGGAAGTTCGCACTGATACAGCAAATAGCTCTAGTCCACATGATGCCCTGGCCCCTCCAACTGGGGGAGCAGCTGCTCCCCACCCGGTTATTTATCATGGGGCTATTTACTGCATAAAGGCACTGGGTGCGCTAGGCAGAGCCTGCAGAAGGAGGGGGCCTGTGTATGGGTGGCTGGTAGAGACAACTCAGCGTGCATTGCCAAACTCTGCATGAGCCATCACTGGAAAGCAGTCGAGCTGGGCCCAGCACCCTGGGGTGGCAATAGCAGCCAGCTCATCTCACAGCAGTGAGAGGGTGGCTGGAAAGGCTCTGTTGCACCTCCTGATGGGGCAGCTGGTCTCCCACCAGCGCCCTGCTTCTGTTACTTTCCATCACTTGCTGTTTGTTCAGTGCCCTGTGGAGTCAGCAGGGGGAAGGGAAGGTTGTGACACAGACGTGCCCAGGCATAGAATCATAGAATATAAGGGTTGGAAGGGACCCCTGAAGGTCATCTAGTCCAACCCCCTGCTCGAAGCAGGACCAAATCCCAGTTAAATTATCCCAGCCAGGGCTTTGTCAAGCCTGACCTTAAAAACCTCTAAGGAAGGAGATTCTACCACCTCCCTAGGTAACGCATTCCAGTGTTTCACCACCCTCTTAGTGAAAAAGTTTTTCCTAATATCCAATCTAAACCTCCCCCACTGCAACTTGAGACCATTACTCCTCGTTCTGTCATCTGCTACCATTGAGAACAGTCTAGAGCCATCCTCTTTGGAACCCCCTTTCAGGTAGTTGAAAGCAGCTATCAAATCCCCCCTCATTCTTCTAGGCAGGTGTATTATTCCTGTGTTCGACCATCCTTCCAATATTTAACTGAAAGGGGTTGTGGGTGGTCTCTGCCAAAAGCCAAGAACTCGCTGGTTAGCATGGTTATTGCAGGATGCTTGTATACAAAACATTTTTAGAGTTATGTGACAGGTGGAAAATTATGTTCAAAAAGGCGACCTGAACACAAAGCTAGATTGGCGTGGGGAGACGTGGAAAGTTACAATAGGGTCATAGGAGGAACAAGAGTGAAATCAGTGGGGGAATTTGTTCAATATCTTAGCTGTCTATATACAAATTCAAGGAGTATGGGGAATAAACAGGAAGAACTGGAAGTATTAGTACATAAGCTTAATTATGACTTAACTGGCATCACAGAGACTTGGTGGGATAAATCTGCTTACTGGAATATTGCTATAGCAGGGTACAGCTTGTTCAGAAAGGTCAGTTGGGAAAAGGGAAGAGGTGTTGCATTATACATCAAGAATATATACACTTGTTCTGAGGTCCATACGGAGGTGGGTGTCAGTGCCCTGGGTAAAGATAAAAGTGGGGAAAATAGAGATGATGTCATGGTAGGGGTCTACTACAGACTACCAAATCAGGGAAAGGAGCTGGATGAAGCATTTCTAGAATAATAGAAATATCCAAAACACACAACACAGTAGTAATGGGGGACTCTAACTTCCCAGACATCTTTTGGAAAAGTCATATGGCAAAACACAAAATTTACAATAAGTTCTTGGAATGTGTTGAGGACAACTTCTTGTTCCAGCAGGTGGAGGAAGTAACTAAGTGAGCAGCCATTTTACACTTGATACTGACCAACAGGATGGAATTAGTTGCAAATCTGAAGGTGGAAGGCAATCTGGGCAAAAGTGTCACAAAATGAGAGATTTCATGATTCTAAGGAAAGGAAGGAGTGAGAGCAGCAGAATAAGGACAATGGACTTCAAAAAAACAGATTTTAACAAACTCAGAGAACTGGTAGGTTAGGTCTCATGGGAAGAAAGTCTAAGGGATAAAGGAATTCAGGAGAGCTGGTAGTTTCTCAAGGAGACAATATTCAAGGCACAACTGCAAACTATCCCAATGCAAAGGAAAGATAGAAAGAATAGTAAGAGGCCAAAATGGCTCCATCAGGAGTTATTTAATGATCTGAAAATCAAAAAGGAATCCTACAAAAAGCGGAAACCTGGATGAATTGCTAAGGAGGAGTATAAAAGACCAGCACAAGCACGTGGGGACAAAATCAGAAAGGCTAAGGCACAGAATGAGTTACACCTAGCAAGGGACATAAAAGGCAACAAGAAGAGGGTCCTTAAATACATTAGGAGCAAGAGAAAGATGAAGGAAAGTGTAGGTCTGCTGCTTAATGGGGAAGGAGAGCTATTAACAGATGACCTCAAGGAGGATGAGGTGTTTAATGCCAACAAGGGGGAAGGAACACAAGCCAAAATAAGGCTAAATAATATTTTGGTAAGCTAGATGAATTCAAGTTGGCAGGGCCTGATGAAATTCATGGTAGGGTACTTAAGGAACTAGTTGAAACAATCTTGGAGCCGTTAGCAATTAACTTTGAGAATTCCTGGAGGATGGTTTCAGAGGAGCAGCCGCATTAGCCTGTATCCGCAAAAAGAACAGGAGGACTTGCGGCACCTTAGAGACTAACACATTTATTTGAGCATGAGCTTTGTGAGCTACAGCTCACTTCATCAGATGCGACTGAAGAAGGGTAACAATAATATCTAGCTTTAAAAAAAGGAGACCAAAGAAGACCTGGGAAATTATAGAGCAGGTAACCTAACTTCGATACCTCAAAAGACTCTGGAACAAATTATTAAACCATTTGTGAACACCTAGAGGCTAATGGGGTTATAAGGAATGGCCAGCATGGATTTGTCAAGAACAAATCATGCCACACCAACCTAATTTCCTTCTTTGACAGGGTTCCTGACCTAGTAGATAGAGGTGAGCAGTAGATATGATATATCTTGGTTTTAGTATGGTTTTCGATATAGTTCCTCATGACATTCTCATATGCAAACTAGGAAAATGTGGTCTAGATGAAATTACTATAAGGTGGGTGCTTAATTGGTTGAAAGACCATACTTGAAGAATAGTTATCAATGGTTTGCTGTCAAATTGGGAGGGCATATCCAGTGGGTCCTGCAGGGTCAGTCCTGAGACTGGTACTATTGAATATTTTCATGAATAACTTGGATACTGGAGTGGAGAGTATGCTTTTAAAATTAGTGGACAACACCAAGTTGGGAGGGGTTGTATGCACTTGGGGGGGGGCAGAAATAGAATTGGTCTGAACTCAGCAATATGACATTCAATAAAGACAAGTGCAAAGTACTACACAAAGGAAGGAAAAATCAGATGTAGAGCCACAAAATGTGGACTGACTGACTGGCTAGGGGCAGTGCTGCTGGAAAGGATCTGGGGGTTAGAGTGGATCGCAGATTGAATAGGAGTCAACAGAGTCATACAGGTGTGAAAAGGGTGACTATAATTCTGGGGTGTATTAACAGGAGTGTCGTACGTAAGACACGGGAGGTCAACGTCCTGCTCTTCTAGGCATTGGTGAGACCTCAGCTGGATACTCTGTCTATGGGCTTGTCTTCGCTAAAGCTGCTGCAATCGATGATCCACTAAATCGATGGCAGAGCGCTTTCCGGTTGAACCCGGTACTCCAGCTCCCCGAGAAGGGTAAGGGAAGTCGACCGGAGAGCGTCTTCCATGGATGCAGCGCAGCGAAGACACCGGGGGAAGTAGTTATTCACATAGCTGGAGTAGCGTAACTTAGGTTGACTTACCACGGTAGTGAAGACAAGCCCTAATTCTGGGCACCACATGTTAGGAAAGATGTGGGCAAACTGGAGAAAGTCCAGAGGTGAGCAGCAACACTGATAAAAGATTTAGAAAACCTGACCTATGGGAAAGGGTAAAAAAAAAAAAACAACTGGGCATATTTAGTTTTGAGAAAGGAAGATGAGGGGGGACGTGATAATAGTCTTAAAATCTATTAAGGGCGGCTCTAAAGAGGATGGGGATCAATTGTTCTCCTTGCCCACTGAACGTAGGACAAGAAGTAACAGGCTTAATGTGCAGCAGGGGAGATTTAGGGTAGATATTAGGAAAAACTTGCAAACTCTAAAGGTAGCTACACTCCAGAATAGCCTTCCAAGGTAGGTTGTGGAATCCCTGTCATTGGAGGTTTTTAAGAACAGGTTGGACAAACACCTACCAGGGAGGGTCTAGGTTAACATGGTCCTGCTCCCGTGCAGGGGGCTGGAATAGATGACCTCTTGAGGTCCCTTCAGGCCCTACATTTCCATGATTCTATGATTACGTTCCAAACCCTATGTTGGAGGTGAAGCGTAATCACCTGAGGTGGGACAGGTGTCACACACTCAAGAATAAGAACAAGCAACACCTTTCAACCCAGCCCAACCCTGTATGTGCAGGCTGGATCAGATGCAGGCTGGAGCATTTTCAAAGACCAAAGAACCCCAAGAAAAGACTGCCTCGGGGACCTAAGGGCTGAGCTGGAGCTGATGAAGCACCCTGGCTCTGAAAAGGGACGAAGTCTGGTACTCTGCAAGAGAAGACAAAATGGCCCAAGATATTCTCCATTACACAGTCGATGCTCTGCCAGCAGGAGCGTCTCATGAAAAGTGGCTCCCAGCTCCCTGGACTGGACAGCGCTGTACAGACTGACCACTGGGTGAGAAATCCCTCAGGAATTAATTAATAATTGTTAATAAGTATAGGCTATAGATTGCTGTCATAGGGTGTATAGGCCTCAGGTGGGCCTGGCGACCACGGAGTTAATGCAGGACCCACTGGCCATGCTGATTGGCAGCCTGACCACAGCTGGGGATAAAAGAGCCTAGAAGGGGGTGGAGGCGGCCAGAGGAGCAAGAAGAGGCTGCCAGCGAGCTGGTGAGAAGCTGCCCCAGAGTGGCAAGAGCCCAAGGGAGGGACGGCCAGAGCCACAGGCTGCAGCAGCTGACAGCCCCAGGGAGGTAGGCTGGAGCTTGGGGCAGGAGAATTGTGGAGAACTGGTTCTGCCTGCCTGGATTAAGGGCCCTGAGCTGGACCAAGTGGAGTGGGAGAGCCTGGGATTCCCTACCCAACCCTTGCAAAGCCAAGGGGTTCCGGGTCTGGTGAGGACAAGGGCTGGCTAGCCCCTGTCAAACATAAGGGGAAGCCCATACACCCCAGTGGGGCAGAAATTAATGTTCTTGTCCCCACAATAGGATGGGAGAGATTCAGACAAGGACAGCCTGAAGGCCCTGCCGATCCGAGCAGACTCCATGCAGTGCCCTGTCTGGCCTAGCGGGGGTGCTGACACATGGGGTACTAGGCCACCATTGCATTTTATGTTTTTCTTTTTCCTGTAACCTGGTGTTTTCAATTGTTTAATTTGCTTTTGTTTGAATCCTTAACTCAAACCTGGTTAAATACACTTCGGTTTGGTTTTACCTTGTGCTAAGGGGAGTGAACTAAGGAGAAGCCAGTAAACTCGGGTGCTGCTTCTGGGGAGGCAGCAGATCGGCGCACATTGCGGGTGCCCAGATGACAAGGGGCTGGGTGCTCCGGTGTGACAAGGTGGGGGTGTAAATTATTAGCCCACCGAGGGAGCGAGCCGGGAGTGGAGCGCGGCGTGTTGCCTGCGGTCGGTAGCTTTGGGAGATCGCTCCCTGCTGGGCACGGCCACGGCTCCCTCGCGCAGCAATTCACCCGGACACCCCGAAAAGCGTCAGCGAGGTCCACAGCCCTGCGGCTACCTTGACAAACTGCACGTCGCAGAGGATGTGCACGGAGTAGTCGGGCGTGTAGATGCTGCTGCTGCTGTACAGCTGGGTGTTGCTGCCCCCGCAGTCGTTGCGTTCCCGGTTTGGGGATTCGGAGCGATTCAGCCCGCTGCAGCGAGATGGTGATCGGTTTACTAGAGGTGGGGAGGGGACAGAGATGGAGGCAAAGTGTGAGAGCCTGTTTACTGACACTGTGTCACCTGGCTCTCTAGCACCAGGACAGTGCAGACGCTAAGGTGCCAGGGACGCATCCCAGAGGCTTTCTAGAGCTCCTGCCTGGCTGGGATTCTCACCCTCTGGACAGATGGGGTCCCTGATGTCTTTGCTTCTCTCCAGACCACAGTGACCCCCTCCGTCCCCTCCCTGCAAGAGGAAGCAGTGCAGAGCCTGGCTCCCTGTGCTGCAAGGAGAAAGGCCTGTGAGCATCTGCTTACACCAGAAGCTAAAGGCAGGTAGTGGCTGGCTGAGCTGTCTTCCGGGGTTGGAATGGGCAGCGCCATGCAGAGAGCAGGGGGCCGAGCAGAAGGTGCAGATCGTGGAGGCCATGCAGGTGAAAACTAGGGGATACTGCTCCTTCGGACGCTGCCTTGCCCACACTTCACCCCTCCGCCAGCAGCGCTCGCAGCTCCCCAGCACAGCACAGGGCTAGCACAGGGACCCGGGGAGTTGAGCCCAGTGAGTATTTGGGAAGAGAGAACCCCCAGGAGGGGCAGTCAGACATGGCAGCTGTTCAGCCTGGCAGGTGCAGGTTTATTCTCTCCCATGTGGGGCCTGCTGTCTGGGAGCAGTCGCTCGATCTCTGGTGTCCTCACAGAAACAGGTTTTAAAGTACAGAATCTTATAAAGGTGACAGAAGAGACAGGCCGTCAGAATGCACATGAGTGTGGGGGCTCGGAATGTAGCACAGGATGGGATTTCCTAGGTCATGGAGTCCAGTCCCTGCTGGCACGAACAACCCTGTCGGGCCATCCCGATCATTAGCGTGTCGGGATCCCACTTAAAACTGGTTAGGTTGTTTGCCCGCTTGCTCCTATTAATAGGCTCTTCCAGAGCTGCTGCCTGTCAATTATATTGATTGACAGCCTTCTCAACTAATTGGAGAGCTGTGCTTAAGGCACCTGGCAGTCCCTTTGCTCTAATGCAGCAAGAGTTGATGCTCATTGCTCCCAGTGTTGTTTGGTACAAATTACAAATTTCCACCCACAATCCCCCAGCAGCATGGCTGTGTAGCCGCATTCCAGGGGCAGAGTTATAAACGGGGTCTGATGCTGGGGCAGACACTGCAGAGCAGGGCCTCCTGTCCATCATGTTAATTGACAGCTCTGACATGCAGCGGGATTCAAAGTGGTCAGTGGATTTATTAGAGAACAAAGGCAGCTTGTTTGCGGCACTGCTGATGTAAATGTCTTTCTGACCTTCGCTCTGTTGGTACAAATACCCTTTTATTATGGTAATTCCCAGAGAGGGAACTGCTTGACCAGAGAGTGTATCCATGACTGACAGGTACAGGGATGTACAGGAGCAGCAATCAGCAAAAAAAAACAGCCAAGAAATGAAACTTATAAAAACCCAAACATAACCCAGGACCATGCCCCATTACCCCTAATGCTGTGCCTACTTCCTCTGTCCCCCACCCAGCCTGCCTGGCTGCTGGCTCATAGTCCTCCGTGGTTGGCTTTTAGCAGGGGAGTGAAAAATACAGGTTCGCACGAGCAACTTAGCAACACCCCTCCCCCCCCGCCCAGTCACCAGTGCCCCAGCAGTGTGTGTGGCCGAGTGTGTCGAGCACACTGCTGTGGTACTAACACGTGTGCACATGCAGGGGCAGTAGTGCGCCTGCCAGCCCCTCCCTGCATTTGTAACTGTGCAGTGCTGCTCCTCAGCCCCCGGGGCCTGGCTGCCACAGGGGCCGGCGGCGGGCAACGGCTCAGTCCATTTGCTCTTCAGAAGGTGCGTCTCTATCAGCGCAGAATCTTCCACAGCACGTGCCCCCGTTAAGGTTCCCTCCCCACTTTGAACTGTGGGGTACAGATGTGGGGACCCACATAAAAGACCCCCTAAGCTTATCTTTTACCAGCTTAGACAACCTAATTAACCCCTTGCAGGTGAGTAATTCTGTACCTCTGGCCAGAAGAAATGTAATGTTACTGCATACATAAAGGTGGTTACCCTTCCCTTTGTATTTGTAACAGCCCCTCTGTTTGTGCATATGCAGCATCCCACAGCTGGGTGTGCTGCTCTGTACATGCAGTTTCACACACTGGGCACTTCTGCCCTGCTCCTATGCAGCCTGCTGTAACGTGTGCTCCCCTAGATGTACCGAACGACATGGAGGGTGCGCCCCCAGGCCACGTGTGCAGAGCCAGTCACTGGGCACTCGTGCGCATGCAGAGGTTTCCTTTCCCAAAAGACGGTGTGGGAAAGCCATGCCGTTACCTGGGGAGCCAGCCAGGGATTCCCCTCTGCTGACGGCCAAGGTACGGGACACTGAGACGGGCACTACGGAGAGAGTGAGGGGTCAGGCCAGAATGACCAGGCAGGGATGGGGAGAAGAGATGAAGAGGAAAGAAATAAGAGACTAAATGAGACAGGAGAGAAGTCAGGACCGTAACTGACCCGCATCCCCAACTCAGCCCTACTTTGCAGCCACCTGCCAAGCCGCTCCCCATGGTCTGCCTTCTCTGTAGCTGCAAATGGCTTGTGGTGACTGAAGGGTCCATTAGACAGTATCCCAGAGCTTCTCTTGGGGTCCCAAGGCCACAGATCCAGGTATCCCCATCTGGGCGGAGTGGGAATGCCCCCTGTCCTGCACTAACAGTGATACTGGGCCCAGCATGAGGCCCACACACCTCCGACTTGCAGGGACCGCGTCTTCACTGGTGTCTGCGAGACACTCAGAATGGAATAACACAAAGCATTCTGGGAAACCCACAAGGCCACCGTGTCCGAGTAGAACCAATAATGAGGCCAGATGGCACTAACTCCTCCATGGCCTTGTCTCCATGGGAATGTGTTATGCATGAGCCCAGGTGTGACTTTAGACTGTTCTTGTTACACTGGAATAGTGCCCCATGCCAGTGTGGATGCTCTTACTGCAGGATGACAGGCAAAGCATCCCCATGAAGACAAAAGGCCTAAAGAACAGAAGAGAGTCGCTTTCTAAGGTCACAGATCTAATGGATTCAAACATGACAGAGGTCAGCTAACGAGCCAGCTGGTGCAAGCCAGCATAGACACTTTGACTGCAATGGAGCGGCTCCAGTTTACACCAGCCATGGATCTGGCCCTGTGTGTACATGTATCAAGAGGATGGGTTTCCTTCTCCATGTCCTGATGTAGCAGAGCCATGGACGAGGGGTGGGGGGCGTGCTGTACAGACACACAGTTACACTAACGTAACATCTCCCTGAAGAAACAAAACAGATCCTGCATCAGGAGCGACTTAATGAGGGAAGTACTTGAGGATTCAGACCCTGATTCTGCAGGCAGCTCTGTGCATGGAAGCAGTGGGGGATACGTGCAGGGGCCCTGCATGGAGCTGCTCACAGAAACTCCCCAAAGTCATACCCTGCCAAGGCTGTTTCTGCAGCGCTGTGCCCAAGGCTGCACAGAGATGGGCAGGGCTGGCTGTTCCTTCCTCAAGAGGCTGAGTGTTGTTTTGAACTCTGTGCACTGCTGAGCATGAACCTGCCCTCCTGGCCTGGATCAGGCAGGGAAGCCATATTCAGGGCAAATGAGCTATCGCTGCAGAGAAAGGGAATCGCTTCACCTTTTCTTTACAGTTTTTCCCCCCCCACGGCAATTCCTAGGCCAGCGTTTCCTGTTGGTTCCTTATCAGCTGGGTTCAAGGCCCCAGGCGCAACCTCCTGCAGCTGGTCACTAACCGCGTGGAGCCGCTCTCTGTGTCAGGCATTACGTCTCCGCTACTAGCCACGCTTTGCTTTTAACCTAGGGCTCACAGCTGTTCAGAAACACTGACTAACTGGTCACGGCAGCAGCCGTACGCTGGAAACGGGCACAACGAACGTAAGTGATTTACTTAAGGTTACAAACAAGGCAGTAGGTGTCTTCTGGCTCCCTGTTCACTGCTCTAACTGCCAGGCAGCACTGCTCCCAGAGTCAGGGCTCCAGCCCAGACGTCCTGACTCCCAGCCCCCTGGTTCTCACCACTGCATCACACTCCTTTCCCCAAACCACTAACAGAACTCAGGCGTCCTGACTGCCAGACCCCTGCTCTAACCAGTACATGACACTCGCTCTCCAGGGACAAGTCTGCCTGTATATGCACATGCAAGGGGCCATGTTAACATTGCTGTAGGAACTATCAGGTTTCTCATTCTGCTGTGACTGATGAATGTTTGTTTGTAAAGTGCCTTGAAGATAAAAAGCTGGAAAGTTTGCCACCTGGTCGCCTCCCTTTTCCAAACCCACCTTTCAGAGTAACAGCCGTGTTAGTCTGTATTCGCAAAAAGAAAAGGAGGACTTGTGGCACCTTGGAGACTAACCAATTTATTTGAGCATGAGCTTTCGTGAGCTACAGCTCACTTCATCGGATGCATACCGTGGAAACTGCAGAAGACATTATATACACACAGAGACCATGAAACAATACTTCCTCCCACCCCACTGTCCTGATGGTAATAGCTTATCTAAAGTGATCATCAAGTTGGGCAGGTATTGTTTCATGGTCTCTGTGTGTATATAATGTCTTCTGCAGTTTCCACGGCATGCATCCGATGAAGTGAGCTGTAGCTCACGAAAGCTCATGCTCAAATAAATTGGTTAGTCTCCAAGGTGCCACAAGTACTCCTTTTCTTTTTGCAAACCCACCTTGTTCACACTCCTCACAGCAGTAACCCCACTCACCTCACCCTTGGAATGACAAACCTAGCGAAAATCAAGGATTGCAAGATGCACTAATACAATGCAGCACTTTCAAAAACACCCACCTCAAGTCTTCATGTGACACCACCAGTCAGGAATCAGGGCCAGCTGATGGGCAAGCTAACAAGCACAGCTGGCCTGTATCGGCTGCCTGATTGGCTACACTGTTTGGTGAGGGTGAGTGGCAGACTGGTTTTAAGCCCAGCAGCAATTCTGTGGCTGCTCAAAGCATTTTCCCATGGCTGTGATAGCTCTTGTGTCTACTTGTTCCCAGTCTTGCTTTGCTCCAGGTAACCAGGTTCTGACTCTCAGTTCTGATTCCTGACCTCTGACTCCACTTCCTGGTTACTGACTCTTGCTCTGACCACTTGGCATGATTGCTCATACCCTGGTCTGTGAGCCCCCTCCTCTCCATCTACCTGTTATATCAGATCTAACTCAGCCCGTATGGTGTCAGGGCAGGGACTATCACCTTTAGAATATAGGAACATAAGAATGGCCCTACTGGGTCAGACCAAAGGTCCATCTAGCCCAGTATCCTGACTTCTGACAGTGGCCAGTGCCAGGCACCCCACAGGGAATGAACAGAATAGGGAATCCTCAAGTGATCCATCCCCTGTTGCTCATTCCCAGATTCTGGCAAACAGAGGCTAGGGACACCATCCCTGCCCATCCTGGCTAATAGCCATTGATGGACTTATCCTCCATGAATTTATCTAGTTCTTTTTTGAACCCTGTTACGGTTTTGGCCTTCACAACATCCTCTGGCAAGGAGTTCTACAGGTTGACTGTGCATTGTGTGAAGAAATACTACTTTTTATTTGTTTTAAACATGCTGCCTATTAATTTCATTTGGTGACCCCTAGTTCTTGTGTTATGAGAAATAGTAAACAACACATCCTTATCTACTTTCTCTACACCAGTCATGATTTTATAGACCTCAATCGTATCTCCTCTTAGCTGTCTCTTTTCCAAACTGAAAAGTCCCAGTCTTATTAATCACTCCTCATACAGAAGCCGTTCCATACCCCTAATAATTTTTGTTGCCCTTTTCTGAACCTTTTCAAATTCCAGTATATCTTTTTTGAGATGCGGTGACCACATCTGCACGCAGTACTCAAGATGTGGGTGTACCATGGATTTATACAGAGGCAACATGACATTTTCTGTCCTATTATCTTATCCCTTTCTTAACTATTCCCAGCATTCTGTTTGCTTTTTTGAGTGCTGCTGCACATCGAGTGGATGTTTTCAGAGAACTATCCACAATGACTCCAAGATCTCTTTCTTGAGTGGTAACGGCTAACTTAGACCCCCATTATTTTATATGTATAGTTGTAATTATGCTTTCCAATGTGCATTACTTTGCATTTATCAACATTAAATTTCATCTGCCATTTTGTTGCCCAGTCACCCAGTTTTGAGAGATCCTTTTGTAGCTCTTTGCAGACTGCCTGGGTCTTAACTCTCTTTAGTAATTTTGTATCATCTGCAAATCTTGCCACCTCTCTGTTTACCCCTTTTTCCAGATCATTTCTGTCTCTAATGCCTCATGCTCGTCTCTGGTGTGCTATAACAACGGTTACATGGTTGCATAGTAGTGATATAACAAAGGTTTAATCATTAATCAGTAAACGTTACTTTTTAAATTTCCAATAGTAACAATAAGATCGCATGTGTGTTTCACTGGATTACTCTTGAAGTGGGGGGGGGGGGGGGAGGGAAAACAATGAATGATCAAAGTAAATATTCTGTGGGTGAATAAATGTCTCATTGCACAAGGTCAGGTTCATATTCATGGGAAAAGGGAAATACTGGAGTCAATAAATGGCCATCATGCATATATAGCTGAACCATGCACAGCCCCTGAGAGGGGCACCAGGTGGTGCTAAGAGCACACAGATGATTGAGGGTGCACACCTGGGAGGAGGGGGTGTCTGTCGAAGTTGGAAGGGCAGTCAGGTGGATTGAGGTGCCTTAGAAATAATTCTCATGATTTTCCCCTCCCTGCGGGTTTTGCAGCCCAAACATGGCAGCCGCGGCCCCCATCGCTGCCAACACACGCATGGAGTTGTGCATCCCACTCATGGGAGTGCGTGTGCCTAAGTGCTTGCAGGGCTGGAGCTTTAAGTTGATGCTGGAGAGCCACAAAGTGAGAGTAACCTGTTCATTTCATCGCCCAAGTGGAATGTGGCGCAGAAAGCCGTGAGAGGGGGGAGAATGCCTGATGATCATCCAAGGAGAGGATTTAAATCATCAACACAAGCCTCACTGCTTTTTAAATTAAAGTCAGAGTATCCAGTAAGAAATACCTGATCCTAACAAACTCCCAACAGTCTGGCCTCCCTGGGAATAGTTCACCACTTCCCCCCATGAGCGCTCTCCCTTCCCCCCCATCTGCCCCTCCCCAATGGGGCTGGGTACGAATCTGGGCTTCGATCCCACAATTGGGCCTATGTAGGCAGATCTCCATGGGCCCCACTGGGCTCGGCCCAGGCAGAGGGCTTTAGTTGTTGGAACAGGATTCAGAATCGGGGGCTCAGATTATAAAATCAGCAGGACGGGGGCATCACAGTACACAGCAAAGGAGCTGGATGGGGAGTAATGATTAATAATAGGAACACGCCAATTAGATGCTGAAAGTTCTCCTGGTCTACACTTAAAACTGCTCTCCCTTCCCCGAGAGCTGGTAGCCAGGCTGACAGAAGAATCCTTCCCTCGACCTAATGCTGTCTACACTGGGCATTAGGCCAGCACAGCTGCATCTCTTAGGGGTGTGGACTTTTCACACTCCTGAGAGACGGAACCGTGAGGACGTAACTTCCCAGTGTAGGCCAGTGCGAAGCCAGAACTGGTCAGTAGCTGTAGGCAGCGAAGGTGGGGGAAGGTTCTAGGTTTTTCTCACTTGACTGCATGCACACGTTCGCCTGAGCAGCTGCTAGGTAAATTGAACCACCTGTGCCATTTCAGACTGGCCTTTGTTCACACGCGAGCCCACATCTGTGTGGGACCCACATTCGGTACAGCCTCAAGGTGGTGAACTGAGACCTAAATGGATCATACAAAACCTCACTGTCGTCACTGCCATTTTCTCCCTTCTGTTTGTTTGCCTTGTCCCCCTGCTGCACTGTGTCTTAGTCTGTTTGGGCAGTGCCCTGCAGCTGTACGGAGCCCCTCCAAAGCTGATAGGGCTCTGTGTTGGGGCCGGGTCTACCCGTTCCATTCCAGCTACACGACTGAAGCCTTGGACGGTAAGTTCTCTGGGGCTGAGACTGTCTTGGTGCTTCTGCAGCACAAATAATAACAACAACATGGCCTGCTGCACCTGCTCAATAAGGTCCTGCCCCAGCTGCTACAGTAGCCAATGGCAAAGCTCCAGGATCGGGCCCCGAGGCATTTCCAAATGTTCAAAACTAAGCCCAGGGCAGGGCAGGAACAGCTCTTTAAAGTGTGAAAAACAGCTCCTCCCTCCAGCCAGAGAGCCTGGCAAAAGGGATTTAAAACTTGCCCGAAAAGGCCCCGCTTGGGCTGAGCAGGGGAGATTTCTGCCCAAAGGTGGCACAAAATGCCTGCATGCTTGGTACTCTAGCATCATTCGCACAGTGCCCCTGTGGATGGCCAGAGACAGGCCCGATCCTGCAGGCGCTAACGCAGGTGTGTGCCGAGGGCTGGGCCTTCATGTGGAACTAGGGCAATAGAGCTGTGCACATTTTTTCATTTAAACTATATTTGGGGGGGACAAAAAATGGCTTTTTGACAAAAATGAAAATTTTCCACAAAAGCTTTAGCTCCGGTAGAATTTCTCCAGTTCTTTGACAACACTCACAAAACATTTTTTGATAAACATTTCTGTTTTTGGTAAAAGTTTTGGGGTTTGAAAAACAGAAAATTGTTACCAGGAACTTTTAAAAAAAAAAAATTGTCAGGTTTTCTTTTGTGTAAAACAATAAACGTTCATATGACATTTGTGTAAAAACACTTTAAAAATCCTGCAGTAAATAATTATTTCCCAACCTGACCTAATAGCCATACGCCATGCCCGGTGCGTTAGGAGCTGTACACAACTCCGGCCTTGGGCCCTTGCTCATCTAACAGTTCCCTTATCCCACCAATGCTCACTCGGGCCTGGCTCATTGTGTAGACTGGGGTGTCTCACTCATTTTACATTAAAATTGTTTTTTTCTAATGCTCAAAACTGGGTTAATTGGGGGGGTGGGGGATACAACGTCTCATTCCACTCTGAGAAAGGGTGAGAGGAAACCGCTGGGGTTGCACGTGCGCTTTCCCTGCTATTTTGAACATATGTCTCAAATTTTTCTAACCTTTTCCTTGATTTTAAGGCCCCCTGTCCGATTTACCCCAGCCTGCTCTCCCCATCCCCTGAAGCTCTGGGCCCAGGCTCACTTCCAGTTCGCTTTCTTTAGGAAAAGCTAGGCTTGAAATACTGGAAATTCCCACCTTCGATTTTTCCAGTAGAAAAGGAGCTAAAGTGAGCGAGGGGCTGGGCCACAGCAGAGGTGGAGCAGCTCAGAAGAGTGGCTTTTCCTCCATTAGCCAGCTCGCTGCTTCCCAGCCCCAGCCACCTCTGCTCTTCTTCCGCAGTTTGGGCCCCCTCCTGGTCCTGGGGTGAGGGATTGGCTTGGTTTGGTGTGTGGTGACGAGGCTCTGGCCAAGCAGAACATGGCTCTGCCCAGTGTGTGTGCCAAGCCAGACTCTGCTAGCAGATGGCTCACGCCAGCCTGGCCACTGCACCGGTGGGGAGCGAGCCCGGGGGTTTGCTGCTCGCCCGCTGTGGGGACGCTGCTCTGGCCGTACACACAAGCACCGCGTGGTGGCAGAGGGGCGGGCGTGGCAGGTACCTATGCAGGAAGGAGGATGCGGCCAGGCTGCTCACTTTCTGCACATCGTTATCTGAAATCACAGGTGGGAAAGAGTGAATTGCACAGGAGCCAATCCCACGCCACCCCAGGGAGGAGAGACGTTCCCCTGGGAACAGGGGTGGGAGAGGCCGTGCCTGCTGCCAATCACCTGAGTAGCGCTCCCTTTGCCTGAGGGCTTCCCCCCCCAACCGGGCAAGGCCTGCCTCTGCTCACTGGAAGGGGCTCGCCTGCTGCACAGCTCCTGCACCCCCCACCTGCCTCCATGCAGAGCTGGCCCTGTGCAGGCCCGGGGGCTGTCTCACTGCGCGGCCGCGAGGTCGGCGTGCACATGGCCAGCTCCCACCCCCCCACGCACCTGCTCTTCCCAGCCCGCGAGGGAAGCCCCGACCAGAGGCCGAGGCCTGTGCTTGGCTGCGGGGCCAAGTGAGAGTCTCCTCACGTTGCCTGAAACCCCTCTGAACTGGGACAGCACCCTGCCCCCCTGGCCCCGACCACTGCTGCCCCAGGCCCTGTCTGCTGTCTGGGGCCAGGGCTGGGTTACTCTCTGCAGCCTGTTCTCCAGTGGCCCCTCCAGGCTGAGGACTGGCCAGCGCTGGCTTTACCTGAGCAGACGACAGCCGTGATGGCTGGGACGCCATAGTAGGTGAACGCTCCGTTCTCAAACCGCAGCCCTTCCTTGCCAATCTCCACTTCCACTTTGCCCTGCAAGGAGGTAACAGTGCTCAGTGTCACCCCCACTTCGCCCCCTGCCCCCCCGCCCCTCGCAGGGCTGGGTGGGTCCTGTAGGCAAAGGGGGGTCAGAGCACAGCTTAGAAACAACAAAGGCCAAAAATGTCCTCAAGGCTGCAACTGGTTCTGTGTCCACAGCATAAACCCAGGTCAGTTCTGATGGGCATGGGGGGCTGTGCGTGTGGGGAGCCCGGTCCAGGAGTGACGGGGTGGGGGGCTGCAGCCCACGGTTAAGGAACCTGTGGGGAGCTGGGTGTGTGTGGTGGGGGGAGCCCAGGCCTGGAGTGACGGGGTGGGGGGTGGGGGCTGCAAGTCAGGACTGCGGGAGCTGGGTGTTTGTGAGGGGGGAGCACAGGGTTGGAATGACGGGGGCTGTGAGTCAGGATTGAGGGACCTGTGGGGAGCTGGGTGTGTGTGGTGTGGGGAGTCCAGGCCTGGAGTGTCGGGGGGCCTTGGGTCAGGACTGGGGGACCGGTGGGGAGCTGGGTGTGTGTGAGGGGGCAGCCCAGGCCTGGAGTGACGGGCGGCTGTGAGTCAGGATTGAGGGGCGCTGGCAGAGCTGTTTGTTAGGGAGAATGTGGGGAAGCTTCCTCAGTGTTTGCCTGCAGGGAGCCTGGCTGAAGGGCAATAACTCCATTAGACACTCAGGATCAGTGAGGTTCCCTGAATTTTTAGCCCCTGGGCTCTTTCTAGCTGCGGGGCAGCACGGTCACTTGGGGAATGAGAAACATCCCCCAGATCATTACCGCTGAGCAAGGAGAGCTCACCTCGAAGCACTTTGTAACCTGGAAGCACTTTGCCAGATTCACTTCTTCATACTCCCCCCCCATCCGCGAGCTGGGGAACTCGCAGGCCCATTTCACAGACAGAGGAACCAAGGCCTGGAGGTTAAACACCACGGGGCAAGCCTGTCAGAGCTGGCAATGAGCACGTACGAGCGGTAGCTCCTAGACCCGTGCCCTCACTGGAGTCACCACCTCAGACCCACCCTGGGAGGAAAACCCAAGGCTCTTTCCTTTGAACGACCAGGTCTGAGCCACTGAGGAACGGCCCCAGGGGCTCACCTGGCGCTGCCTGACGTGGGGAAGGGGCCTGCGGGGGCCAGTGCCCGGACTCACCTGCAGGATGAGGACGAAGTAGTCCACTGGCCGGTTGCACTGGTAGAGACAGTGCTCCGTGGCCCGCTTGTTTTTATGGTCGTACTTCAGCTCCTGGATGACGCTGGGGCGTTTGAGGAGCCTCAGCAGGATCTTCTCCGAGAGGCAGGGAGATTTGAAGGGTTCGATTTCTAGGGGGGAAGAGAGGAGATGGACTCCACCTATCCCAAGGCCCTTTACGCGTGGGAGAGCCCAGCAGGGCAGGGCTGTGCAGGCCCCCCCCGTGTGTGCTCGCTCCGCCCAGTCAGGAGACGCTGGCCGGGATGCTGGCGTCCCCCCTGACGCTGCTGGCAAAGTGCTCGGGGATCGTAACTTCACCCAGGCAGAGGACCAGGGACAGGAGAGAGGGGGGCCTTGGTTTGGCATCTCACTCAGGTGATGGGGCCTTCCACAGCACAGTGTCCCCCCATGGTGCTCTGGGCCAGGACTGGGAGCCAGATCCAAACCCCCTAAGCTGGGGAGTCTGTGGCCCCCATGGGTTCAAGTCCCCAGGAAGGAGGTGAAAGGGGAACCCCCTCCTTGGGGGGGAAGGAAGTGGATGAAATCCAAGAGACAGCGGAGCACAAGACCCTGGCGGTGGAGAGCTGGCAGTGCTGTGGGGAGGGTCCTGGGAGCCCTCAGGCGCTTGTGCTCGGGGGTGTTGGGCATCTGTCCACGAAGCACAAAGGGGAGCTGGTACCTGATGCCATGAAGCGGTGCACGGCCAGCAGCAGCTGAGGGGAGATCTTCACCTTCATCTCACTGTCTGAGAGCCTGAAGATGGAGAAGTCGTGTGGCTTCCTGCCTTGGTGCAGCGCCCTCTCCTTCTTTCGGTTGTCTGCTGCAGGGGTGGAGAGCGGCAAGGTTACGTGCCTTGGACAATACTGCTAAAGGTCAGCTCGGAACACAACTGAACCTCAAATGACACCGGCCTAGCTGACACCTGAGACATTTACACTGTGCTTGTCCGCACGGTGTCTGCACAGCTGAGATCGGAGCCTCCAGACCCACAGGGGCCAGCCGGAAGATCTAGACCTGTTTGGTCCCCTCCAGTCCGTCCCTGCTGCCCAGCTGCCAGGGCCGGATTGTTCCCTTCAGGCTGTTGTCTCGTGCCTTGGCCAGTCCAGTTCTAAAAGAGCCAAGCAATGGAGCTCCCACCCCGCCCTGAGACAGTTCCCCAGCCAGATCCACCCCCGTCTCGGGAATTTCCCTTGATACCTGCAAGTCTGTGCAGTGAAAGCACCGGGCCGAGTCTGTCAGCACTTACATCGCTCCCTTCTCGTGCAGCCGAGGGACCACGCCAGGCAGAGGGGCCAGTGACATGCAGTGTGACTGCGCCTTATACACAGCGTCTGCAGGTGAGGTGCAAGAATCACAGAGCGCAAGGATGGGTCTCAGGCTGTGCTGGTTGTTCTCCTAACAAGTGCTCTGTGTTGTAGAGGACATGCAGGGCCCACTGGGGAGTGGCGGCACAGGACGGATACACTCCCCTCCTCAGGAAATTAATTCCTGGCTGCTCAGGCTGACTGTGTTTATCTGGGCAAGCTGAGCAAGCTGTCTGTCTAATCTAGCTAGCTCAGCCCCTATCCTGGTTCCCCTCATCACAGTATCTGGTCTGTGACACTGACTGTAAAGGTCTGTTTCATCCAGGATCTCGGACTTGATGATCTCTTCAATGACATCCTCCAGCGTGACGATCCCCATCACCTCATAGAACGGGTCTCCTTCCCCTTCGTTGTTCACTCGCTGCACGATGGCCAGGTGCGATTTACCTGTTGAAAGGGAACAGAACAGGAACGGAATCCCCCGGCCGCTGGGAGGGGCTTCTGGCTTGCATCTGTCTCCACCCAGGGAGACTCCCTAGGCTGAGGGACCGAAATGTCCCTTCCTAGGCCCGCGTTCTCTCTGCCAGATAGGCTCCTCAGGAGATCCCCGGGCAGGGAGCACAGCTCCACAGCAGTGGCAGGCTGCTCCGGGCTAGAACGCGAGTGAGCTCTTGCCAGCAGGCTGTGAGGTGATACCTCCAACCTGCTGCACGAGGGTTGCAGAACGGCAGCAGGAGAGCACAGCACTGTCATAGCTGGCTGTTCTGGGCTGGTATAGAAACTGACCCAGAGTTCCCCACACTCTGAGCACCAGCCTGGAGCTGGATGGGAGGCGTGGCTTGGAGTGGACCTTGGAAGCAGGACAAATAACAAAGAAGAACTGTGGCAGTGTCCTGCCTTGGAGCCCCCATCTAAGAAAACTGCAGGAGGCAGAGGACGAGGAAGAGGGATAAAGCACCCAGTCAAACGGGACACGATTCACACAGAACATGCCGAGCGTCAGACTCCCCCGGCCCCTGCACTGAGCCCCCACTGCCAGTGGGCTGACTTCTTGCAGGAGTTGTGGGAGTCTCTTTCTCGCTCCTACTCTGGGTAATTTGCTCTGACTTTAGGGCCCAAGTTTTCAAAAGAAGCTGCTTTGTCTGAGTGCCTCACTTGAGATACTGGGCATGGATTTTCAGAGATGCTGAGCACCCACCGGCAGCTGCTGCACGTGCTCTGCGCCTCTGAGTAACCAGCCCCTCTGTGGCACCCACTGGGTTCCCAGGGGTGAACGCACTTGCACTCGGTTGCTTAGTGCTCACTCAGGGGCACACTCAGGGGCCCCTCTGGTTACAGGCAGGTGCAGCGATGATCCATGCCACACAGGATATGGGGATAACGAGGGGACCCCACTCTCTCGCCGCGATGTCTGACTGCCACTTGGATTTGCTTTATACCTGTGACCGATTGTGCCAACCCTTGCCCAGCTGGGAGGGGTTAAATCCCTTCATGGGGTGTGAGAAGGCAGAGGCATTAGCCAGGCCTGAGGGAAAGGCCTTCGGCGGAGGCTGTGCCTCCCCTGGGTTGGTGGTCAAGCTGCCCTAAAGCCGGTGGTCAGGCTGCCCAGAAGCTGGGGGTTCTGTGCTTGCTTGGGCTGCAATGTCAGGGGGATCGGTTCACTTTCCTTCTTCCCAGAGCCTTTGAGTTAAGCTGCCATGGAAAGAACAGGCCAGGCAGCTACAAGGAGAAGCCGCATCTGGCCTGAAGGAGAAAGGTGCCTGTTTAAGGTACCCGGGAGCCCTTCCCTCTCCCTGCTTTCAGTGGGCGAATGAGACCCTCCTGCAGGGCCCTTCTCTACTGTTGGCCAGATGGCAGGAATCTGCTGATGCTTCTGAACAGTGGTGAGGATGAAGGGGGCCTGGGCCCCGATCCTGATCCTGGCTGGAAGCACAGCCCTCTTGGATGGGGAGTGGGTTAGGTCACCCCACAGTGATCCACTGGCAAACTGAAGCCTTAGGCTTGACTGAACCTGGTTCACTGGGAAAAGCTGAATATCATGAGCACCCGCGGATAGGTGCAAGCTGGGCCAGCGCTGGGCATGGACAGAGCCCACGTAACTCACTAGCGTGCTGCGGGAGTGTGGTCAGTTCTCCTCTAGGCATATGGGGACTCTAATGTGCTCAGCCTTGAGAATTACCAGGCTGCCCAGCCCTGCTCCACCCGTAACCCTCTTATCCCTCTCGCCCCCGGACCACACATCTCTGCTGTGTGCACAAGACAACAACACAAGCAAACAACAAAGCACTTACGAGGGGGAACGGGCTCCCCTGCACCCCAGCAGAAAGCAACGCAGTATTACCTGGCTGGGGGAAAGGTTGCACAGCACAGGCTGAACGGCAGAGCCGAGTATTTTGGAAATGTCCCTATTATGCAGCATTCTGAGCCAGCTGGGGATGGCTGGCACCCCATCCGACTGCACCCGCTAAGTCCCTTGCGCCCTACAGCCACCTCATTATCTCCCTAATAAGAAGGGAGGGGAAAGGAACAGCCAGGATCCACGCTTCCTGGGGATGAAATCTAGACAGTTTTGTTAAGCCTTTGTGCTTCTTTTACTGCTTTTTCCTCAAACGGGTGGGGCACGAGGGCTGGGTCTGATGCTTTGCTGGGATCTGCGTAGGAAGCCCCAGTGCCCTCCTGGAGGAGATCTGGGTTCAGTGACATTCAGCTGCTGCCGAAGCAGAGGAACAATAGAATATTCACTCTCAATGAAGTAGGAGCCTGGGACAGACTGTCTAGAGTGGGGACTGAGCATTGACAACTCCCCTCCCCAATGGACACTGAGCGGGGAAACCCGCCAGCTCCAAACCAAAGGAAAGAGATATGGAGAGCATCACAAGAACTGCCAGGCTAGGTGGGACCTGAGGTCCATCCAGTCCAGCTCCTGTCTCTGAGAGTGGCCAGAACCAGATGCCCTAGATGAAGGTGCAAGAAACTTCACATTAGGCAGATTTGGGATCATTTCCCCTCTCCCCGCACCGCATTAGCTCGCCTCCTGAGGCCTAAGAGTTAAGGGATCGGCTTAAGCCCTGGTGTACAAGACGTAATATCCCTTTCCAAAGTGGGTTAGTATTAACTGCTATAACTCTGATTATTCTTATTATCCATATAAATGTACAATCTCATTTTTAATCTTGCTAAGTTTGTGACCTCAATGACTTAGGTGGCAGTAAGTTCCATGGACTAATTACACATTATGTGAAAAAGTATTTCCTTTTATCAGTTTGAATTTGCTTTCTGTTAATTACATTGACTGTGCCCTTTTTCTTGTATTATCAGACACACAGAATCTATCTTCTCTGTAACACTCTTTTTATTTTATGAACTTTTGTGAAGTCCCCGTTTATTCATCTCCTTTCTAAGAGTTTTCCAAGGGCCCTAATAACCTTTGTTGCCTTTCTCTGAATCCCCTCTAATTTTGCAGTATATGTTTTCAGATGAGTGACCGGTCCTGCACACAGTATCCAGCTGAGGCTGCACCAATAATTAAAAGGCATTATAGTATTGTCTGTGTTATTCCCCATCCCATTCCTTATGCACCATAGCATCTCATTAGCTTTTCTGCTCGCACCTATGCAGAGCTCTCCATTGTGTTGTCTGCAGTGACATCCTGGCCCCTTTCCTGAACGGACACAGCTAATTTAGAACCCTGTAAGGTGTAGAAGTAGTTTAAATTTTTCTCTCCAATAAATGCATTACTTGCATTTATCAGTGCTGAACTTCATTTGCCTCTGTGTTTTCCCTTTTCCTTAACTTGCTCAGGTCCCTCTGAAGTTCCTCATAATTTTGTCTGGATTTGACCGACCTGAGTAACTTTGTGTCATCTGGAGATGCTGCTACCTTGCTGCTCATCCCCTTATTTAGATAATTAATAAATATATTAAACAATACAATATGGAACCCTGATGCCCCTGTAGGCATATTCCAATATTTGTGATTCTGTTCATAAGAAATTGTAAACCTGCAATATTGATTTATAATATTTATTAAATCTGCATTTATAATTCTTCTATTTGACATAATTGTAAATCTGCAATATTGATTTACAATTCTGTATTAAAGCTTGCAAACCGTACCTTGCAAACCGCTCAATTGGCTTTGCTTTCTCTAAATTGATACTTTCTCTCACTTGTTATTAAGATGGACGCTTGTAAAACCAAACCGCTCATATTGACTCTGAATTGATACTTTCTCACTTGTTATTAAGATTGACGCTTGTAAAACTAAACTGCTCAATTTGACTCTAAATTGATACTTTCTCACTTGTTATTAAGATTGACGCTTGTAAAACTAAACGGCTTAATTGACTCTGCTTTCTCTGTATTGGCGCTTTCCATTGATTGTAATGGAGATTGACATGCTTTTAAACTAACTTCACTTTATGTTCAATTGGCTCTACTTTGCAAACGGATACTTTGTAATGGAGATTGACATGCTTGTTTGTAACACCCATGAAGAACCGCGAATTGGGGCGCTCATAGAAATGTCACATAGAGACTCCCACCTTCTATAGTTTGGATCAGGTATGTCAAGAGACAGGGAGTCTCAAATAAAATAACAATACTCGGTGAAATGAGAAATGTGTTTTTTTATTAAAGTAAGGAATGTATGTGAATGAATGGTGGGTTTTGAATAAACAGGGAAGTGCCAGCCTAGGAATTTAACATCGATTGGCCGAAGAAGACGCCAGGTGGAGACAACCAGAGAACCCCACCGGAGGGCAAACTGGGATCCACCCGACCAATTCAAAGGATGAAGAAAGCTGATGAGCACCTGACAGCCGTCCTGGAGCAGTCATGACTAACAATATGACAAAGCAAATTCCACGGACTGGCATAGGAAGAAATTCCTATAAAAATGGACACTAAGGACTGAGAACTTTGAGTCTCCAGTTCTGCCACTACCCTTCAGGAGCATCGGATGCGCATCTGACATGGACTCAGCTCCACTCTCGTGTACAGGTTACCTGGCCAGTACCCTGTCACGAGCAACCTCTAGGCTGGTAACTATAAACCCCTATGCAGAACTGGTATGAATGAATGAATGAATATATATATATATATAATTAAGTAAGGAATAAGTAACGATAGGACAGTGTGAGTTTTATATTTCTTTATTATATTTACAATAAATGTGGCATTTTGCCTTTTCCCTTTAATAAGATCCTGCTGGTTTTTATTTTATTGGTATAACACCCCCTCTATTCACTTTTTGCCATGGTGAAAAGAGACCATTTACTCCTACACTTTTTTTGTTTGCTGTCTCCTGGCCAGTTTCTGAACCAGGACAATACAACCCTAACACCCCATGGGGACTTAGCTTCTTGGCGTCCCTGCTGTGCAGCACCTTGTTGAAGGCCTTTTGAAAGTCCAGGTACGTAATGTCAAGTGGTTCTCCCTTACCCGCAA